GGGGGGATGCCGGGGCCGAGGGTCAGGAGCTGAGCCTTGGAAGAGCAGGGGCTGCAGCGGGAGGGGTGCGTCTCCGTCCTCCGGGCTTGGGGGGTGAGTGTGGGGTGCAGAGAGGGGTGGGCCTGGCCTGAGGTCACGGCAGGGCTCCTCGGGGCCGCCCCGGGGCCCCTGCCTGCTGCCCGCACCCGGTGGACGGTGACTCAGCCCCACGGCTTGGTCTGAGGCCGCGGGCCACGGCGGGGTTTCCAGTTGTGCAGAAAGGCAGACAGCTGTTTATTTTCCTTGCAGTGAAGGGGGGTGGCGGGGGCGGCGGGAGCTGGCCCTGCCTGTTCTCACACTGGCGCAGGCTCCCCAGGAGCCCCCGCGAGGAAGGCGGCCCCAGGGACAGGCCGCCGGGGGTGGTGGGGCTGGGGGCCTCCCCCCGCACTGCCGGGGCAGCCGGCCAAAGCCAATTCCACAGGCCAGTTCCTGGGGAGGGATGCTGGGGTTTCCGAGGTCGGGAAGGAACTGGCAAAACTCGATTCATGATGTCACCCGCCCAGCCCCAGCCCTGGCCCAGGCCCCGGCCCGGCCACCGCCTTTTGAAGACGAGGGGCACCCCGGGGTCTGCGCAGAGCCGCTGCGGTGGGGTGCCCGGGGAGGGCTCAGGTGCCTATCCCAGAGCGTCCCCGGCCCGCCCCTGCCCCTCGACGCCCAGATCCTGACCGCTGGAGCCGCCAACCTGGGGAGCCCCTGGGAGGTGGGGACCGAGTCCCCCGTCCCCGGGCCCGGCCTCAGTGGCATCGAGTGGGTGTTTCCCGAACAAAGAGAACATCCTTCCAAGAGGCAGTGATTCACCCATCCTGGGAGGCCCTCCCAAGGACGGCTGACCCTCCTCCCGGCAGGCCAGGAGCTCGGGCCCCAGGGGACACAGGGGCCCCAGGGAGGACGTAGACCCCTGCCCGGGCCAGGGCCCGAGGTGCAGGGTTAGGGGGCCGTGCGGCCTGCGGCCTGGATGCCCCTGCCCGAGCCTCCCAGGCCGAGGACCCCTCCCGGTGGGCAGAGGATGGACAAGAGCAACCATCTTCCTTCTCCTTTTCTGGGATTTCCAGTTTTCTGCCGCAAGTACTATTTTTTCTGGAACTTTTTAATGAAGTATAACCCACAGGAAAGTGGACACAGAAGTGTACAGCTCGACGAATTTTCACAAACCAAACCCTGCACGTAAGCCGCACCAGATCAGAAACAGAACGTGGCCGGTTCCCAGAGGCCCCGGAGCCCCTCCTGGCTGTGGTCCCACCCGGGCCGCCTTTTACGCTTCCCTCCCGCTTTATCCCTCACAGGGATGGTCACACGGCCTGTCCCCTCAGCTCTCTGGATTCTGTGTCCGACTCTGTGTTTGTGAAGGAAAATGACTGTGGGAGGGGCAGGATATGTGAGTTAGCTGGATCAGGGTAATCACAACACGGAGTGTACGTTATCAAAACTTCACACTGTGTGTCTTAAATAGTACACTTTTTAGGGTAAGTGGTATCTCAGTGAAGCTGGAAACAAAAGAAGGCATCAACAGACAAAAATGGTGTTTACGAGGTTCTTCCACACTGTTGTGTGTGGTTGTAACTCATGTAATGCCCCCCCTTTTTTAAAAAATAGACTTTTTTCTTAGAGCAGTTTTGGTTTACAAAAAAACTGAGGAAAAAGGTATAGAGTTCCCATATACCCCACTCCCCACACCCCCTACACTTTCCCCTATCGTTCACATCTGCCATTAGTGTGGTGCCTTTATTATCATTGATGAGCCAGTATTGATACATTATCATTCATAAAGTCCATAGTTTACTTCAGGGTTCACTCAGTGTTATACATTCTATAGGTTTGGACAAATGTATAATGACATGTGTCCACCATTACAGTACCATACAGAGTGTTTTCACTGCCCTAAAAATCCTCTGTGCTCCCCCTGTCCACCCCGCCTCTTCCTGCCCCCAATCCTTGGCAACCACTGGTCTTCCTGTCTCCATAGTTTTGCCTCTTCCAGAATGTCGTAGAGTTGGAATCGTACATTACGTAGCCTTTTCAGATTGGCTTCTTTAACTCCGTGATATGCATTTAAGTTTCTTGCATATATTTTCATGGCTTGATAGCTCATTTCTTCTCAGCACTGAATACTATTCCGTTGTCTGGAGGGACCACAGTTTGTTTATCCATTCACACGCTAAAGGACATCTTGGTTGCCTCCACGTTTGGGCAGTTATGAGTAAAGCTGCTGGAGACATCCAGGTGCAGGTTTTCATGTAGACACGTTTTCTACTTCTTTGGGGAAATACCAAGGAGAGTGGATGCTGGAACATATGGTAAAAGTATGTTTAGTTTTGTAAGAAACTTCCAAACTGTCTTTCAAAGTGGCTGCACCATTTTGCATCCCCACCAGCCACGCATGAGAGTTCCTGCTGCTCTACATCCTCGTCAGCACTTGGTGTTGTCGGTCATCTGGATTTTGGCCCTTCTAATAGGTGTGTATTGGTATCTCATTGTTATTTTAATTTGCATTTCCCTGATTATATGTGACGATGAGTATCTTTTCATATGCTTCTTTATCATCTTTGGTGGGGGTATCTTTTCAGAAGTTTTGTCCATTTTTAAAATTGATCTCTTTGCTTTCTTATCATTGAGTTTTAAGAGTTCTTTGTATATTTAGGATACCAGTCCTTTATCAGATGTGTTTTGCAAATATTTTCTCCCAGGCTGTGGCTCGTCTTCTTCTCTTGACGTTGCTTCTCACAGAGCAGAAGTGTTTAATTTGAATGAGGTCCGGCTAATGGATTATCTCCTTCACGGATCACACCTTTGGTGCAACGTCTAAAGCGTCATTGCCATTATCAAGATCATCTAGGTTTTCTCCTGTGTTATTTTCTAGGAGTCTTCTAGTTTTACACTTTACATAGAGGCCTATGATTTTGAGTTGCTTTTTGTGAAGGTTGTAAGGTCTGTGTCTAGATTCTCTTTTTGCATGTGGCTGTCCAGTTGCTCCAGCACCATGTGTTGAAAAAGCCTTTTCTTTGTTCCATTGCGTTGCCTGTTCTCCTCTATCGAAGGTCAGCTAACTATGTTTATGGGGGTCTATTTCTGGGCTCTCTGTTCTGTTCCGCTGATCTATGTGTCTGTTCTTTCACTGATACCGTGCTGTCTTGATTCTTGTAGCTTTGCAGGCTTGTGTACTGTGCATTACTGTAGCTTTCTGGTCAGTCTTGTGTAATACTCTTTTTAATTAAGAAAATTGGCCAATGTTATTTTTAAGAGATGCCACGGTAAAAATGGCTCTGCCTGCAGCTGGCCCGCTTTTTGGGGTGTCTGCTCTGCTCACCCCATGTTACCTGGCAGTGACTTCCAGGCCCCTGTGGGCCCCTGGGTGGCAGGTCGTGGGGGGAGGGGGACCCCCCTTCATCTCCCCAATGTTGGTGAGTCTGGTTTTGTTTCTCAGGCTTGTGGTGAGTGTGTGTACAGGGGGGGAGTGGGGAGGGGGGAATTCCTTGATGTGGTTTGAACATTAACCATTTTATCAGCCAGACCAGGCCTTGTGGCAGCCGAGGTGGACATCTCCCACTGCTGGCTTCCTGGGGCCACTCTAGAGCGGAGTCCCCATCAATGTCACTGCAGTCTCGGGGGGAGGGGGAGGAGGGTAGCCGCGTCCCTGTGGCACCTCGGGCAGGTCACTCCTTCTCTGAGCCTCTATTTCCTCACCTGAAAACTGGGTCCCAGCCCTGCCCAGAGAGGGAGTGAGGCCAGGTCAGTCAATGGGCAGAAAGCCCTTTGCAAACTGTAAAGTGCCGGGCAGACCCGTGAATGTTGAGGTCAGCAGGAGTGAGCATGGGCCAGGCAGCCCACTGAGGTGGTGGAGATGGGCCGGGAGGAGAGCTTTCCGGGCGCTTCTGTCCTAATTCACAGGTGTCTCCCTGTCTCCTGAGGGACGAGGGATGTAACTTTCCAGGCACACAGGTGCAGGAGGTAACGGGGGTCCCTGACCTGGTTCTTCCTGTCTCCCGGCCCCAGCTTTCTCCCAGGCCGGGCCGTCGACCTGGTGAACGGCTGGCGTTGAGCAGATTGAAACATCCGGAAAGCCTGGTGCTTTGTGAAAGAAATAAGACTGGAGAAGGAGGAAGGGGTGCCTCCTGACACCCCTGGAACTCGAGGCCTGGGAGTTGAGACTCTGTTCTTTGGTCAGTGGGGAGCCATGGAAGGTTCCTGGGCTTGGAGGGAATAGCGGTTGGAGGGAGATCATCCTGGTGGGCCCTTCTTGATCTCTGTAATGTACAAGCCCCTCTCAGGACATCTGTTCCCTTGACTAAGAGACAACCCGTCCGAGGCTGGAGCGAGGCTTCACCAAGCCAGGGACACGAGCCCTGGTGGGTGCCGGCTACGCGGTAGGCCGCTGCTCTCCAGCACTAGCTGTGCTCCTGGGTGGGGGCCACCGGGCTCCCTGTGACTGTGGACAGCTCCTCATCTTACAGACCTGGAGACGAGCCCAGGCCAGCCCAGGGCAGAGCCCCTCCCCACTCGGCGGGACAGCGCGCAGCAGGCCTGGCAGAATCATTTGTTACGTCCAGTGAGTCCACCCAGGCTCCCCAGGAGGACATTAGACACTGCCTGAGCCAGTCACAGGCGTGGGCTTACCGGCCAGCAGCTGTTCCTTCATTTTCTACCAGAAGCTGCACCTGCCGCGCCTCTGAAGCCAGGCGGCCAGACACAGCCCCTTGGTGGTCTGCTCAGACATGGGCCTCCCTCTGCCAGAGACCCGGCCTCACTTCCTGCCTTTCCTCCAGTCTCCCACCCCCACTTTCTAGCAGCCCTCTCTGACCTCAGACTCCACCTGGGTCCTCGGCTCCCTTCTCTGCCAGGCTGACTCCCGCTCACCTTCTAAGACAAAGTGCCTGCTTCTCTCCTCCTCCAGGAAGCCCTCCCTGCTTCCTCTCTGGCAGGGCCCTGATGAGGGACACCCAGGGGCCCAGGGAGCCCTTCCTGAAGGTCAGGAGGACTTCCTGGAGGAGGTGATAATGGAGCAGAGGTTTAAGTCAAGAGGAGACAAAAGGGAGTTACTGACGAAGGACTGTCAGGTGGGCCTAACACTGGCCACTCACATCTCTATGGAAACGGGCAGGGTAGCGTAGTGGTCAAGAAAGTGAGTTCTGGAGCCCCTGCTGTGACCGTGACCCCTCTGTGCTTTGCAAGAGGAGAGTAAGCCATGGCCGCACTGGGCTGTGGGACTGAACAGTCCATACATGGAAAGCGTGGGATCGGGGCCGGTAGCTGGGAACACGGTGCCCAGTGGTCATCGAGTCACAGAAGCCCCCAACGGGAGGTTACTGGGCTGCATGACCAGGGGCTGAGAGATGCCAGGTGCCTGTTCTGGGGAGACGCCAGGAGCAGACCCAGACAGTCCAGCCCTAGATGAAGCCTTCAAGCCCCTCCGACCCGGGCACTGCCCCAGGGGGTTGGACAGAGACCCCGGGGGAGGGACAGAGGTCACCAGCATCCCATGGAGCAAGCAGGACGAGGGACTGTCCAGGCCCAGGGAGGGGCAGAGGGGCCAACTAATGGCAGAGTGGGAAGTGGGGCTGGGCCCCTGGGCAGGCCAAAGTTGGGGAACATATAATTTTATCGTCCAAACAAGGACACATTTTGAAAGGATGGGGGACACTAAAAATCATTTCAATTATCAGTTGTTTGAACAAACAAAATCGTTTTATGGTAATGATGGTTCTATAAAACAGTTATATTCAAAAAAAAATTTGTTTTAACAATTACTTCTGAAATAATTTAAATAAATTGTATCAGTGTACATTAAGGCCCCTTAAAAAAATGAGCCTGTCCCAAATATTATGAACATTAAAAAAATAACACATGTAGAATGTCGATTCTTGGTCACACTCACATCTTTGAGCCCCATCTATTTGTTCCTGGAATTCCTCTCCACAGTGCATTTTAAAAAATATGGTCTTATTATTTTTAAGGTTTATTTCCATCAGTTCCAATCATCTTCAAAGCTGCTTATGATGTGAATGTATTGGTACCTTTGCTCAATGCTTCTCTGCAGGTCACAATGTTTTAGTTGAGAAGATTCTCTGTCTACGGGGCTGGGGGACCTGGTAAGCTCAGAAGAAATTCTATAAACAAAGGAAGTTCTGAATTCTAATATTTTGTGTAAACATTTCGACCCAAACATTCCCACAGACACTGCCTTTTGGCCTCCATTCAGGGTGCAAATATCCAAGAGCTAAAGACAAACCGTAAGAGACACATCTTGTCAAATAAGTTGTCTACCACTTATGATTCTTTTTAATGATTCTTCAAATTTAGATGCTGCAAAACTGTGGGCCATTTCAATCCAGACTATAAATGTACCCAATTAGGGAGATCGGGATTGACACGTATACACTAAAATGTATAAAGTAGATAACCAATAAGAACCTGCCGTATAAAAAATAAATAAATAAAATTGAATTTTAAAAAAATGTACCCAATTAACAATAGGAACCCCATCCCCAGATGCTTCTCACACGTCAGGCTGTGCCAACGGGCAACTGTACAATTACAGAATGAAGCCTCGTCACCTTTTGTTTCCCACCGGCGAATGGGATCGACTCCTCCCTTGGGGATGAATTTTAATGTCTTCTGGTTTGCAGGCTGCATTTTGAATCTTTGCAATTCTGTAAAGGCTTTGAACGCTGAAGCTTTTGCTGCTCTATTTGTTGAAATACTTGACCGAGAATTTCTGGTGAATTGCAAGTGAAATTTAGAAATCTCACTCCCCAAACACTTGTGAGCATCGTAGGTCTCTTGGGCTGAGTCATGAAGCACGGCTCCAGCGGCTCTGGGGCTGAAGGGCGACAGGGGGCAGCGGGCGGCATGTGCCCTGAGGGCTGGGGCACTTTCTATGCAACGCCGCCGTGTCCTCGAAGAACCTCGGCTGTTCAGCCCTGGCCGGGGCACATGTGAAAACACATATAAAGGCTGATCACCACAGCTCCTGATTTTTTTTTTTTTTGCGGTATGCGGGCCTCTCACTGCTGTGGCCTCTCCCGCTGCGGAGCACAGGCTCCGGACGCGCAGGCTCAGCGGCCATGGCTCACGGGCCCAGCCGCTCCACGGCATGTGGGATCTTCCCGGACCGGGGCACGAACCTTTTCCCCTGCATCGGCAGGGGGACTCTCAACCACTGCGCCACCAGGGAAGCCCGGAACATTGCTTTTAACACCAGAATCTGTATCGCTGGACAAATCGTTTTGCAAAACCAAATCATTTTGTCTTCGCGCTGAACTTCTAGCTGAGTTTACGAGCATGTTCACAGTCATGTCACCCCAGTCACCTCATCAGAAGTGACCTCTGAAAGCTTTACCTTGATTGCATAAATGGGGTGGAAATGTCTGCTGTTGGACCGGCTGACCCGTGTGCCACTGCCGGCGAATAGGAGGGTCAGCCCCCCAGGCGTCCCAAGTCAGGGCGCTGCAGCCCCTACCCCAGGACTCCCGCCAGCGACCCCTGTCCCGGAAGCACAAGCCGCTGCTGCCCAGGGCCCCGTGCCCTGTCTGGGCTGGTCGGCTCTGGGGGACCAGAGGCTGAGAGGTGGGCCTCGTGAAGACCCCTGGGCTTCTTTCCCTGACTCAGAGCCACCCCCAGTCAGGAGCACGGGGCTGGGATTTAGAGAGCACTGGGGAAACTGAGGCTCAGAGCCAGAGAGAGAGCCTGGGGTCTGGCCGCACCTGTCTCCTGGGGTGACGGCAAGGACACGGCCAGGATCGCTGCCCGTGAGGACGGGGGCCAGCAGGGCTCTGCCAGGAAGCATTGGCTCCCTGGGGATGTCCCGTCTCCTAAGCCACTTCGCCCACAGCCTGGCCTGTCACCGTCGTGGCTCCACACCCACGGCTCTGTGCTCTGGGTGGTGTTTCCTGCGCCCGTTTGTGGTCCAGCTTTCATGCCCCTCGGGGTTCCACACACCACACTTTGGTACTCACTGGGCAATACCCACGTTCATCACTGCTGTGGCGAGAGCACCTGGGAGAGCCGGAGGCCTGGCCCAGCAGAGAGAGCGGGGTCCACGGGGTAGCTTCTGGGCTTCTCACCTGTGGAGGGTCACTGCTTCCCCGTTGGGCTTCCAGCTGTTCCCTTCCCCCTGCCTCAGTGTCCCCACTTGTACAATGAGGTCACTGACCCTTCATGCCGTCGGGAGCTGCTTCCCTGGGGCCTTGGAAGGGACAGGGTCCCGGAACGGTCTGCTGAGCCCAGGGGCTGCTCACACCACCTCAGAGCCCGCGGAGCCCCAGTCGTTTTCCCTGCAGCCCCTGGGTCACAGCTGCCCAGGGCCAGGCCTGGACGGGGAGGCCGTGGAGCGGGTGGGAGAACCTGCCCCTACGTTGCTTAGAGAGGCTGCTCCCAGCACAGGCAGCTGGGCCAATAGGCAGAAGGCTCCCCAGAGGGCCTCTCTAGGGAGGCTGCTTTGAGTGACTGAGGGTCACTGTGTCCAGGTCTTGGGGCCCCGGGTCAGCCCTTCCCCGCTCTGGGCCTCAGTCTCTCCATCCAGAAACATCGACATGGCCACACGGGTACAGTGACGAGGTTTCCAGGTGCCCAGGTTCCAGGGTGTGGCTGAGGATGTGGAGAGGTCTGTGCCCATTTCACAGATTGGGAAACCGTGGTCAAGAGAGCAAGGGAGGGCCCTGGGGCTGGAGCAGGCCTGGAGGCCCTCGGGGGTCCCAAGCTCCCCCACTGGAACAGGCACCCACTGCCCACACCTGTCAGCTACGTGGTGGGTGCTGGGGACACAGCCGTGAGCAACACAGACCACCGAGCAGGTGCCCCCTGGACCCACCACTGCATCGCAGCCACGGGAAGGAACCACGGAGGCAGGAACTCTCTGAGGAGCTGTGCTCGGGGGCCTGCGGGGTAGATGAGGCTGGAGGGACGGGTGGCTGTTCTGGCACAAGGGGACCGTGTGAAGGTTGTGAGCATCGCCTGCTGGCAGAGGCTGAGGGCTGAGGGGCCTAAGAGGAAGCCAGGGAGGAAACAAGGAGTGGGGCTGGCTGCGGCCCCCAGGAGGGGGAGGGCGGTGGCTGCGGCCCCCAGGACAGGGCGGGCGGTGGCTGCGACCGGCTGGTGGGGAGTGAGCCGGGAGCGCCCACTTCGGGATACCTCTGGAAGGTAGAGCCGATAGGATATGCTGACGGATGGACTGCAGGGTGAGAGAAAGGGGTGGCAGGGAGGTCCGAGGATTTGGTCTGAGCCTTGGAAGGAAGGAGGGCTGGGCTCAGAGCCGCGGGTGGAGGAGCTCAGGGATGACGGCCTCACTGGAGAAACAAACGAGGTCTTGGGCTGACGGGCGGACTCGGGTCTGATGGGACCGCGAGGGAGGGCGTGCAGGATGCAACCCTCGGGGGCTGCAGCCGTCTCCCGTTTCCTCTCTGGCAGCCTGACCACTGCACGGGTCCCAGCGCCTCTCCTCTGCTCCTGTGTGCCCGTGCCCCGCACGCTCATACCGCCTGCTGGGCACAGAGAGCCCTAAGGGCCGGGGAGGCACGACTGGGGTCCCGAGACTCAGCCCTGATTTTTGCAGAGCTTAGGCCGGGGGGCGGGAGGGCGCGCTTGCCGCAGGGGAAAACCCACCACGGCCCTGCCGGCCCCTGTCTGGGGTGGGAGGTCCTCACCCCGTTCTGCCAGGTGGGGAATCAGCTGGGAGCGGCGGTCACGCGCCCCGGGCCTCAGGGCCAGCGCTGGGATTTGGACGGCGGGCGTCGGAGGCCAAAGCTGCCGCTTTTCCAGGGCTCGCGCCCGCCTCTGGGGCCTGTGGGAATTTTCTCTCCGGAGAGTCCTGAAAGGCCGGAGGGGACGGGGTGCCGAGTCCAGCTGATGGAGGCGAAAGGGCCACATGCTTTTTGTGGTTGAATTATCCAAACACTGAATCCCTCTATCCGCCCGGGCGGCTGTGAACCCGCTGGCTTTGTCCAGCCTGAGAACAGCGGGGCGCGCGGGGCCAGACAAAGGCGGGCGCTGATGCGGCCTTTTCCATGGTCCGGCAGAGAAAGAAAGGCCTGCTGGACAAAGCCCGGCAGAGCCGACGGGGCGGGGGCGGGGGTCAGGCTTTAGTCACGGTGGGGCTGGCGGGAGGGGCGAGGGGCGCCCGCCAGAGCTTCCCAGCAGCGGGCCCCGCTGAGAGTGGTCAGGATGAGAAGGTCGCGGCAGGAGCCGGCCTGCCAGCGGCCCCCTGTATCCCGGGGATGGGAGGCCCACCCCAGACGAGGCCTGACAGGGACACCAGGAGACCCCCCGCCCCCAGGGCGCCACTGCCATCAGCGCCCCCCCAGTCCGGGCCCAGGGCCTGGCCGTGCATCCTGGACAGACTAGGGCTGGTCTCACCACACCTGGCTGGGCAAGGCCCCCCCAGCTCCACAGCCAGCAGCCCCTCGGAGGAGGCCAGCCAGCGATGGGCCCAAACTGACTTCTGAGAGAGAGGTTGGGGCGGTGGGGCAGGGTGGGCGGCAGCGACAGTCCTCAGGGCCGCCACCTGTAGGAGCCAGGCACACGGAGCTGGGCTGGGGACTCCCTTCTCCTCACCCTTCTGCTCTCTGGGACCCAGCTCTGCTCCAGGTATGGGTGTCCGAGGAGTGACCACAGGCTGAACGCCAGGCCTGCGGGGCTTAGAGGGGGGCCTGAGCCGCAGGGAAGGGCAGGGGAGACGGGGTGCCCCAAAGAAGAGGAGACCCCAGCGGGAAGCATGGGCAGAGCCAGGCCCCGCTCCGGCCCCTCTGGCCTCGGCCCCCCGGGGCCTGTCTGAGGATCCAAGGCCGCGCCCCGGGCCCACAGCGAGCAGCCAGGCCCCACGTCTGTGCCCAAGGCCCCGACGGACGGCAGGAAGCAGCGGGGCAGGGACGGTGCTTCCCCTCAGGCTGGGGAAGGAGGGACAACAGGGACAGAGGGAGGAGGGGGTTCTGGAAGGTGCGGTCGCGTGGGCCCCAGGCGGGGCGGGGGAGCCCCTCAGCACTGAGGTCTCAGCAAGGAGCGCACGGGGTGACAGGCTCATCCTGCATTTTCCAGCTCCCTCGAGGCTGCCTTGCGAGGCAGCGGGAACGGGGAGGCCCGGCCCTCACCAGGGCGGGCAGTGGGAGGCCCCTGCGGGCCGTTCAGGACCGCGTGGAGTCGAGGTGAGGGATGGCAGTGGTGGCGGGTAGCCAGGGTCCCCTGGGTGAGCAGGGGGGACAGTGGTGCCTGGGGCCAGCAGGGGGATGTCCTGCTCTAGGGGCGTCCAGACGCCAGGAGAGCAAGCCCTGGAAACACGGGCCTGACCTGCCAGGCCTGGGACAGCGTCTCCGCACACCATGGTTACATCGTTTAGTCCTCAGGACGGCCCGGAGGCTGCTATCTTGTTCACAGCCATGGAAGCCGAGGCTGGGGGACCCAGAGCGCCAGGCCCAGCCTGAAGACCTCGGGGGCCTCTCCTCACTGTGCCTGGCGGCTGCCTTGACGAACCCAGCCCCCAGCCGACCTCAAGACCCTCGTGTGCTCCCGCGGGAGTGCCTGCACGGTGCCCGCGGGTGAGTCCGGCTCACCCCAACGCTGAGCCCACCTGGGGCCCCGGGGGCACCGCCGGGAAGACACGCGGGCCTGGCCAGGGTCGCCGTCACCCTCTCTCAGGCAGAGCAGGGCCCCTAAGCCAGGAGGTGGAGCCCCGAGCCTCACCCC